TTATGGTGTCCAACTGCCGGAGCATTAATGATATGTGCAAATGAAAATCACGAAGACTTTAAAAGGTTTTTCGTTTGTTTTAACACTTTCAAAAAATAAAACATTGAAACATATTTTACCTTATTAGCAGTTACGTATATTCTGCATGTTTTGACAAAACTCGTGTAGTCAAACGTTTTTGAGCGCTCATATTTAATCACAAATCATTTGTTGTATTACACTAAATTAAAATAAATCATAGCAACATTTTTAGCTAATCCTGATAATTATATATATATATATATATATATATATATATGTATATATATATGTAAAATGGTTACTGTAGTAGACTTAACTGCTTTACCTCGTACACGAAACTTAATATTATGGACTAAACGCATGCCAATTTATATTGAGTTTCAATCTTCATTAACATGATTGTCCTTTAATAATTTGATATATTTAGAAATATCATTTCATTTATAAGATGTCGTTTAGGCAAAGCCAATTTTCCTGTGCACATTTGAAACATTAGCAAGTAGGAGATTGCTAGCCTAAATATTCGCACTAGTGACTCAACTAAATTCTAACTATCGATTTATTAGACTAACCAATTATATTTTGCTTGTAAATAGTCTCCTAAAAATTGACGAAGTTCTTTGGAAATAATTACAATTGTGTCTCATTCTTTTCTCGCCCCTAGCCTTTACAGACAGCAGATTTGGAGGAGTGCGATAGACTTATCTCCACGTGGTGCACCTGGACAACGTATACTCATATGGCAAACAAATTTTATAAACTAGAGGTTGACTTCTGACTTCAAACTACCATCATCCCACTGTTTGCCATGTTCGACCCTTCTCAGAGTACTCATCTTAGCTTTTTTCTGCCGTTTTGTCTGTTTTTTCTATCTCTGTTACCTCTGTGAATAATTATTCTGTCCCCTCTCGACTTTTTGTCACTTTGATGTTTCTTCTTCTCTCTGTGAGGCCTGAAGTCATCTAAATTATAACTATCAAAACGCCTGCCATTTGAAATAAATCAATACCTGCCTATCAGAAAGGATTAAACAGAAGTAAGACCCAGTCTTAATGCTCTTAGGCGGTCCAATCATGCGTACGAGTTTGCCACCAGATATCCATACAGTTGTCAGCCATCACAACCAGATACCGAACAGGAGACATGACTGACACCTAATGAAGCCGTGTTTTGCATACAAACCTTATTTATATACTCATAAATTGGTCCAGCTTTCCCTCCACCTCCACACTGGCCTAACAACAGGCGTAACTCAATTTATTCCCTCCATATTGCTCTGGTCCAAGCAAACCTATTATAATAGAACGCCCAAATCAAATAAAGGATGTGTGAATGAGATATAAGCTGGACCTCCCAATTATAAAGTAATAGCAATTTTGTCATATTTTACATCATTTCGTCATGCGTAATGTAGGTCACATTATATTCTGAAACGCTCGCCAATAATTGTTATGATTTGTGATAGTTCGGGAGCTTGTACGAGTGCACAGAGATTGAAAGTACTATCTCTCACAATTCTTGAATTCATTCACATATTTCGAATATTATGGAAATTGCAACGAATATACGCTTAGTTTGCTTTATCAAACATTTGGGATATAAAATCTGATATCAAACTCCACTTGCCCATCTGCTGCATAAATAACGTCTCATTAATTAATAATAATTCGCTTCCATGTTCAAAAACGGCTTCTTACATAATATTTTTCGTGGTATTGTAATCAAAATGTTTTTTGATTGATGAATTAGTGCAATAAAGCGTCGAGAATGTGTGGATATTTTAAAATAACGTGGGAGATAATTAACAAATTACCACATAATGTAAATGGCATTTAAATTAGAGCACAAATTTAACGGAAAGTTGACGAATTAAGATTAATATGTTCATTTAATTCTCAGTATAAGTAATGGTGATATAAGAAAAATATTCTCAGGGAAGAATTAACTAAAATATTACACTCCTATGCGAATGTTCCTTGCAAAATCAATTATCAAACGAAAAATTGACATATTTTTTATTGGAAAACATAAAATTTTATTATAAAATTGGCAATATGTATATTAATTCTTAAAGGACAATGGTAAAATTGGACTTATTCAAATCTAATTCTAAAATGATGACACAATAAAAGAACTTCATAATATTACTAAAATAAGAATTCTAAAATAAAATCAACTTAAATTTAGACTCTTTTTATTTCTTATATGTGCATTTGTTAGAACATTCGTGTGGCCAATCAATGAGGTTTTGTTTGAATCCCCACTCGGCACTATTTCGATACTACATTGCCCCGCTTGGACGTGCGCTATGGTGAGCTTCGCGTTTAAGATCTTTCTTCTTTCTTCGTTATGAAATCTAATTTGTATTTTTCTTGTTAGGTTAATTTCACTGTTCCAGAGATGCGTCGTCTTATGACGAAGAATAAAAACATTAGGAATATGTCGGTTATTGCCCACGTCGACCATGGCAAGTCAACTTTGACAGACTCCTTGGTATCGAAGGCTGGTATTATTGCCGAGTCTCGAGCGGGTGATGCTCGGTTTACCGATACGCGCAAAGATGAGCAGGATCGTTGTATCACAATCAAGTCAACAGCTATTACCCTTTATAATGAGATTAGCGGTGAACAGCTTGAACTTGTGCGAAAAATCCAGCCCGTTGATGTAGACGAATCAGGAAAGGATGAATGTGGTTTTCTAATCAATCTTATCGACTCACCTGGTCACGTAGACTTCTCATCCGAAGTTACAGCTGCTTTACGAGTTACTGATGGCGCTCTTGTTGTTGTTGATGCCGTCTCAGGTGTCTGTGTCCAAACCGAGACTGTCTTACGACAAGCTATTGCTGAGAGAATCAAGCCTATTCTTTTCTTAAACAAACTCGATAAGGCTTTGAGCACTATGGGGCAAAAACCCGAGTCTCTCTACCAGCACTTAACTCGTGTCGTTGAAAATGTAAATGTTATTATTGCTCAATTTGGGGAGCGGGATGGGCCAATGGGTGATGTGACCGTAGATCCTGCAAAAGGTACTGTTGGCTTTGGATCTGGCCTTCAAAGCTGGGCTTTTACTCTAAATACCATAGCCTCTTTCTACGCAAAGCGAACTGGTATGGATCCCGCTAAGTTGCTACCTCGTCTTTGGGGTGACAATTTCTTCAATAATAATGAAAAGAAATGGCGGAAGACCAAGACTGTCGAGGAGGATGTGCGCGGGTTCGTGCATTTCATTTTGGATCCAATCCAAAAGATTTTCTTAGCCGTGAAAAATGAAGACCAAGCGTTGATCAACAAAATGATAAAGGCCGTGGATGTTCAACTTACTTCCGAGGAGCGGGAGCAACCTGTTAAAACGTTGCTGAAGACCATCATGCACAAGTGGCTGCCTGCTGGTGAATGTCTTCTTGAAATGATCTGCATTCATCTTCCTTCTCCATTCGTATCTCAAAAGTATCGCATGGAGATGCTTTACGATGGTCCTAAAGATGATGAGGCAGCTCTTGGTATTGCCAACTGTGATCCCAACGCTTGCCTGATGATGTATGTCAGTAAGATGGTTCCAACCTCTGATAAGGGTCGCTTCTATGCGTTGGGTCGTGTGTTCTCTGGTACTGTTGCTACCGGTCAAAAGGTTCGCATTATGGGTCCAAATTACGTGCATGGCAAGAAGGAAGATCTTTTCGAACGTTCCATCCAACGTACCATTTTAATGATGGGTCGTTACACTGAGGCTATTGAAGATGTTCCTTGTGGTAATATCTGCGGTCTTGTTGGTGTTGATCAATTCTTGGTAAAAACTGGCACCATCACCACTTTTGCTGGTGCACATAATATGCGCCAGATGAAGTTTAGTGTCAGTCCTGTCGTCCGCGTTGCTGTTGACTGCAAAAATCCCAGTGATTTGCCCAAGCTTGTCGAAGGTCTCAAGAGGTTGGCTAAGTCGGACCCTATGGTGCAAATTACCACTGAAGAATCTGGTGAGCATATTATCGCAGGTGCTGGTGAGCTCCATCTTGAAATTTGTTTGAAGGATCTTGAAGAAGATCATGCCTGTATTCCAATTAAGAAGTCTGATCCTGTCGTCTCTTATCGTGAAACTGTAACCGCTGTCTCATCTCAACAGGTACTCGCCAAGTCTCAAAACAAGCACAACAGATTGTACTTCCGTGCAGAACCACTTGATGAACAATTGACGGCTGATATTGATGAAAATGTTGTCTCTGAAAAGCAAGACCCCAAGGCTCGTGCAAAAGTCCTGTCTGACACTTATAACTGGGATCCGACTGATGCCAGAAAGATTTGGTGCTTCGGACCTCATCGTACTGGCCCCAACTTGGTTGTTGATGTGACTAAGGGTGTTCAATATCTTAACGATATCAAGGATAGCGTAGTTGCCGCTTTCCAGTCCGTGACAACTGAAGGTGTTCTTTGCGATGAAAACATGCGTGGTATTCGTTTCAATGTTGAAGATGTCGTTCTTCACGCTGATGCTATCCACAGAGGTGGTGGTCAAATTATTCCTACTGCCAAGCGTTGTTTCTACGGCGCTGTTTTGACTGCTTCTCCTGCTATTCTTGAGCCAGTGTATTTGTGTGAGATTCAAACTCCTGAAGATGCTGTAGGTGGTATCTACAGTACCTTGAACAGGAAGCGTGGTGAGATTGTTAGCGAAGAGTGTATCCCAGGAACACCAATGTATATTGTTAAGGCCCATCTCCCTGTCAATGAATCATTCGGTAAGATTTGAAATTCGTGTATTATAACCCTATTCTTTAGGTTTTACTGGTGAGCTTCGTGCGAACACAAGTGGTAAAGCTTTCCCTCAATGCCAGTTCGACCACTGGCAGTTATACCCTGGTAACCCAATGGATCCATCCAGTAAGGCTGGTGTGCTTGTAGCTAGCATTAGAAAGGCCAAGGGCAAACCGGAAGCTCTTCCAAGCCTCGATAACTTTATCGATAAATTATAAATTCATTAATAAATTATCTGGAATATTATGACTGTTATCGTCAATTCTTATCTGTTAGTACGTGGCTTTGGGCTGTCTATGTTAGTTGATTATTTGATATGATAAGGATCCTTGGTTTACCTTCGACAGTATTGAAACCCTTTTATTTTGGTATAAGTTATCCTGTAAATCTGTTCAAGCTAATGGTCTTAGAGTTATCAGAGAGGGCCTTTTAGGTTTGGTGTCACGCTCTTATCACTCCTTTAAGAGTTGGTTAATCGTGAACCTTCACTCCTGAAACTGAGCTTCTTCCTAGCTGAATCGACTTTCCTTGAAGGTGGAGCTACAATCAGTGTTTTTTTAGAGGGCTGTCAAACGAAGGTCCAGAAGTTAAATATGGTCTGATATTTTTTAGAAATACAAAAATATAGTCATTAGGTTAACATAGGGGGGGGGGGGGGGGAGGAGAATGTCCCATTCCATAAGAAATTAGTTGCCAAGCCAGCTTTACTGCATATTTCAATTATTTAGTATGAAGTAATAACATATTTTGCAAACTGTTAGTACAATTTGTCCCAAATTTGTAAATATTTATTTATGTCAAATGGCAGGCGTTTGGATAGTTGCCATTAACCCTTTAGGTGATTTCAGGCTTCACAGAGGGGAGGAGGAACATCAAAGTGAGAAAAGCCGAGAGTGAGGAGGTGGAACAGAAGAGTGTTTCAAAGATATAAAAGAGACAGGCATAAAGGTAGAAAAAGGTGAGTGAGAACTGTGGAAGGGGTCGAATATGACAAACAGTCGGGTAATGGTAGTTGGAAGTGAGAAGTCAAATGCCGGTTAATAGACATTTTTGCCGTATGAGTATACTTTGCCCAGGGTGCACCACGTGGAGGTATATCAATCGCACACCCCAAATTGGTAAATATGTACCTGATTTAACGCAGCTATCATAACTAAATGTCAAATGTATGCTTAAAAATTTAGCTGAAACAACAATCTATTGAATTGTTTTGTTCCGTTCTTTTACAATTTTTATGATGGCTTGCTACTTTCTTCATCATCATCGGATTAACTAAACCTCAGAGTACTGAGTCAGCCTATAATGAAGTTAATAATCACGGGATCCACTAAAATCATAACTCCGGGTGATAATAAGGATAAGATGTTCTACTTTAAACAGATTGAAATAAAGAAGCTGTGTGGTTTTCAACGGTCATGTGCACGTATGCCAAGTCATATCTCTTATTATCGGTTCGCATTCGGAGATGTGGAAGACTAACTGCAAGAGATGAATGGTAGGATGCCAGTTCTTCAAAGGTACAACATTAGAGTACCTTATTCTACCCAAGTCAATTGCCGTTATGGCGACCTTGTGACACTTGATGGTATGGAAACAAATACGGAGAAAGCATTTTTAATGTGAACTGATTGACCAAAATTAGCAACACTGGGTTAAGTATTAATAAAGTTAAATTTAAATCAGAGTAATAAAAAAATTATTCCCACTTTCTTTCCACCAAATGAGCGTTTCATTTGGGTTGAAGGGGGGGGGGGAGGGTGCGCGATTGACTTGCCTCCACGTGCTGCACCACGGCGACACATATTCATAAAACAAATAAGTCTATAAACCGGCAGTTGACTTTTGACTTCAAACTATCATGACCTCACTGTATGTCATATTCGTGCACTACCACAGTACTTACCTTACCTTTTTTCTCTAACTAGTCTGCCAGTCCCTTTACACCTGTGGATCACTTTGATGTTCCACCTCTCTGTGAAGCCTGAAGTCAACTAAAGGGATAATGATAACTACCATAAAACCTGCCATTTGATATAAATAATGAAATATTTCATTTGGAAAACCTTGTAATTTTCCGAGTTATCGGTGGCATATTGGTGTACCTGCGTGTCTACAAAATCAAAATCCATAAGATACCTACTCGACGGTGTGGATGGCCAACCTCAGTGGTAAATTCAGGTTAGCAAGATCGGTGGTAGAGAGGTAGAGTTTCCCATAAAATCGACAAGGAATTACCTTATCCTATCGGAGTCAGTTTGTGTTAGCATTGTATTTCATGGACTTGAAAAGACTCAACTTAGTAGCATGATTATAGGTAGACACTGAAGAAAGTAATATGCACCCACTAAGTGAATTTAGGTGACGGAAATGCCAATCATAGAAAATTGACAACAAAGGCATTATAGAATGGGATAAAAGAAGACGATTTAACTCATTCCAACCAATAAAA